TTTTAAAAAAAATTTTTATATATAATATAATTTTATATATTTTTATAATAAATTATAATTTTATATAATTAAAATAAAAATTATTATTATATAATTTAGTTAATGATAAAACTGAAACTAGTTGGTAATGAAACTGAAATTTTTGGCAAAAAGAATTTAGGCAAATATCACTAATTATTATATTCCTTATACTATAAACTTGCAATAATTTATCCAATCTATGGTTCTCATTAAGAATAAATTTATTATAATAAAATATACAAATTATATGAAATTAATTTAATATTAATTTCTGAAATTAATATTTTGTCTCCTATTTTATAAATTTTTCTATTACATTTATTAGAATCAAATGCATAAATTTATATATCATTATTTAACATTTTTAAAATTCAAATTAGTAAAATTTGGCTAATAAATAATATGAATAAAGTTCTATTTATTTTTTTAAAAATTTGAAATAAATTTAAATTTAAATAAAAATTATATATTTTTTATTATAATTTACTGATAAAAATAATTAAAGCATATATTTATAGTATTATTTATTAAATTTTATATTATTTATTTAATTTTGTAGCATTAATTTATCAAATTTTGTACTTTACCCCTAACTTGAAGCAAAGAAGGAGATACCCTCAGAAGGTGAATCAAGAAGGTGACTCCAAGATTCGAACAAATAATACTAACACTCAGTCAAGTAAGAAGCAAAAGGTGGCCAAGAAAATCAAGAATATAGATAAGGCCTTGGGTGGTATTAACAAGCTTACAATTTTAGCAGAAATAAGATCAATATTTAGAAAACTAGGAGCGTCTTAATATAAGTTCGAAAGAATGGTCTGATAGTCTTAGTTTTAGGAGTATAGTTGTAATTCCTATAAAAAAAAATTTTACTTAAAATATATTTAAAATATATTTAATTTTCTTTAAAATATACTTAATTTTCTTATTTTATACTTAAAATATACTGAAAATTAAATTTTCGCAAAATTTGAATTAAATTGTATTTAATATATACTTAAAATATATTTAATTTACATTTAAATTTTGCCTATTTCAGTATATTTTAAGGATATTTAAAATAAGAATATTTTAAGTATATTATTATATACTTAAATTATACTTAAATGATATTTAATTTTTGCCTATTTCAGTATATTTTAAGTATAAAATAAAATTTTAAATATATTTTAAGTATAAAATAAAATTTTAAGTTTATTTTAAGTATATTTTAGCAAAAATATTTTTTATAGGGAATAGGGTGGCTTTATTGCTGACTGTTTCCCTATTTTTCACATTTTTTGTTTTTTTGTTTTCTTTTTGTTTTTATTATGATTTGAAGATGCATTTGCATCAGGTTTATTTATGCATTCTCATTGCACTTAGGGGGTGATTAACAAATTTACTATATTTTTGTGAAGTGTAACTCCTATATTGTATGGTTCCAAGTGTTATAATAAATAAACTTTAAAATATAAAAAAAAAATTTATCAAATTTTGTGGCATTTATTTATTAAATTTTGTGGCATTTATTTGTTTATTTTGAGGCATTTACTTATTTATTTTGCAAATTAATTTATTAAAATCTCTAATAATAAAATATCTGCATTCCTATAAAAAGTTTTTATACTTAAAATATACTTAAAATATACTTAAAATAAGTATCAATTTTAATTCGTGATATACTTATAATATACTTAAAATATGCTGAAAATACTCTCAAAATATATTTTTAATGTACTTGTTTTTTGCCCAAGTACTTAAATTATATTTAAAGTATACTTAAACTAGAATTTAAGTACAATATAAGTGTATTTTTTACATGTTTAAAATATTCTTAAAATATACTTAAATTGAATTTTAAGTACATTTTAAAAATATTTTAAACATGTAAAAAATACACTTATATTGTACTTAAATTCTAGTTTAAGTATACTTTAAATATAATTTAAGTACTTGGGTAAAAAACAAGTACATTAAAATATATTTTGAGAGTATTTTCAGCATATTTTAAGTATATTATAAGTATATCACGAATTAAAATTGATACTTATTTTAAGTATATTTTAAGTATATTTTAAGTATAAAAACTTTTCATAAGGCATTTGCATTATTTTTTTTATAAATTTTACATAATATAAATATAAAAAATATTTGTACAAAGTTTTAAATTTCACCCATGTATATTTATTTCTGCCTATTAATTTTTGTTTGATAATTGGCAAAAAATTATGAATTATTGTATGAATAATATACTATAAAAATATTAAAAAAATTATGCTAATAATTATATAATTAAAATTATATGATAATTCAATGTTTAGCTTAGATTTCCATTATTTTTTTGCTAAAATGTTTGTAGCTTTTGCAATAAATTTTAAAATCCGAAATTACAGAAGTCAGAAGGCGATCAAAATTATTCGGCCAGTTTATTTTGCTAAAATTTTGTTGATCATGATGTGTTAATATCTATATCTATATTTATATTTATATCTATATCTATACTATATAATAATTGTTTTTGTGTGTAACCATAATGTTTAGACTACCCTGTATAAATAAATTTGAATTGCGTAACATCGCTCCTATTGGCACTTTATCACATGACATTAGTACACCAACTTCCAAAAAAGGAAATTTTGCTTCCCACAAAAATAGGGAATTTTGGTTTCACAAATACTCCATAAAAGGAAATTTCTGCACCGATCACATAATTCTGGCCAGATTAATTATTACATGCAGGTCACGCTTTTTTTATATGTATGTATATAGGGATAGGATCGGTTCGATTACGTAATTTTGAGCAGTTTTTAAAACTGATTAAAATCTCGTGAGTTTCGAACTTATATGAGCCAAAAATCTTATTGGGAATAGAGAAACACTAATATTTTTACAATAAATAAAAAAAAAAGAAAATTTATAAGTCAAAACAATTTTTAATAGCTTTTAAAAATTGAACTGAACTGGTTCTGAACCAGTTCTAAAAACTGGTTCAAAATATGATCAACATCAAAATTATGATGATCATGAACCAACTATTGATTGTTAACCAATCAAAATTTTTTTAATTNTCAACATCAAAATTATGATGATCATGAACCAACTATTGATTGTTAACCAATCAAAATTTTTTTAATTCATAATCAATATATGTTCAACTTGTGTCTTTAATTTGACACATGTAGCTCATATTTTTCTTAATGGGAACTGACGTGAAACCGACGGCGAACTGAAATGGAACTGAATGATCTGTCTCCATCCCTATATGTATACCGTTACAAAGCAACAGGTTAACGGCTAGTAATATAAATAAGATATAATTTTATGTTTATAATGACAATTATAAACAAATTTCAATACTTCATATTTTTTGAAAATAATGAAGTTACCTATTATATGAATTTTATAAATTTTACAATTTTGTGTAAACAAACTTAAAAATATTAAAAATATCATAATTTTACCAATATTGATCTGATTGACCTGTACTTACCACCATTCAAATCATCTCAATGAGATGGATCAAAAGAGCTATAAATTGTAAAATTTCAATCACAGAATCAGAACATATCGTAGGTGACATTTAGGCTTTTAGAGCATAATCATGTGATGAATATCGATCTTACAAATATTAAATTATTACCATTCAAATCCTCACAATGAGATGAATTTGATAAACCCAAAATTTTAAAATTTCAATCACTAGATCTCGAAATAACCTTAACATACAATTTTAAATTTTAAAATTCATGAATTTTGCAAACTCAAAAAATTTTATAATTTACATAGTATTATATTTGTAATTAATATGCAATATTATGGCATAATACTTTTTCAACATTATGCTTGCATACCTTATTAAATTTTCTGATAAAACTACTTAAAAAGTACTATGTTAAAGTTGCATTAAAAGGTATTTCTCCAGAATATTATAAAAATCTATCAATAGTATATCTCATTAAATTGGGAAGTTATTTTTGCAAATGGAGATAGAATTTATTATTAAAATTTTATCAAAATTAGTAAACAAAGACATAATGAAATTGGTTAACTTTAAATTTTTATTATTGCTATATTATATATATATAAATTTTTCCAATTTGAAAAGTGGCTGGATAATTCTGATCATCCTCTGTATATGATTGGCAAATAATCAGCAAGATGATATAAGTATTTCTGTCATGCTATTTATATATTAGTGTGCAAAATACAGATCACGTGTTTATTATACTTTTTCAGTAATCTGCATAAAAAATTTTCTTTTTTTGGAAATTTGTGCAACAAATTTTCATTTTTACTGAAAATCAAAAGTTGATTTTTAGGTTATGTAATGTTGCTTTGATTTCCAAAAATGGAAATTCAAGTGGAATTATAAAATTTGGCCGAAATTATAGGCATGACATATAATATGTGATAAATAAGGTTTTTCTTTACTGAAAAAATTCGTTTCTAGAATAAATAGTAAAAATGGAAAACTAGAAGGATGTGACATGGGTGACAAATTAAAGTCACATAATTCATATTTCGCATACTAGTGTATTTTAAGAAATTTTCATTTTTTTCAAATATATTTTCAAATTGTAATTGTTTAATATTTTGAAATTTGTTTTAATTGATATTTTATAATTAAAAATAAGTAATAATTAATTACAAAATTAATTTTTTTTATAAAATCAAAAGTATGATTATGATTTTCTAAAAAAAATTAAATACATATTTAATGATATACAAAATTTTGTTACTTTCATAAAAAATACATAAAACTACAATTTAAAAAAAAAATTTTAAACAAAGAATCATAAGTATATATTTATTATACCACTAATCCATCATGTCAGAAAAGATTTTTCATAATTATATTATCAAAAAAAAAGATGAAGAAAACTTTTTTGCTTAAATAAAAAAAAGTGTATTTATATAAAGTTCTTTTTTTAAATAAAAATAATATATTTTTATATTATAATACCTTTCCCTCTCTTTTGTAATTTAACTCCCCCCAATTACGCATTTACAACAGTTAATCTTCTTTTAGGTATAGTCATAACAACAACTTCTCTATTGTGCATATCTTGTTCTAATTGGGCTTGTTCAGCTTCTTCATCCATTTCATCATCTTCAATTCTCATTCTATTAGAAGATGGTGCTGGACCATCTCTGCCATTTCTGTAATTTTCTTCAAAGTCATATTGTTTCGTTTCATTAATTTCACCTTTACCACAAGCAACCTTGTGCATAAATAATACAAGTAAGCTATTTCTACCTTTTGGATATCCGTACCGAGCAGCAATAATCCAAATTAAATAAATAATCATCATAAATCCAATAAATATGTAAAAAGTTAAAGAGTCTACAACTCTTGTTTTAATTAATGATATTCCAATATATATTACCGTTGAAATTAAAACAAGTTGTGCAAATATGTGATGAATTCGTCTTATAATAATTGCAGTTGATGTATCAGACGATGTGGTTGATGTTTGTAATCCGCTTCTAGACACAGCTGTACTTTGTGATGTTCTTCTTGAATTTGGGATGAATTGTAAGCTATTATTTCTTGACCCTTGAGAAGAATGATTCGTAACGCTCTTTCTTTTTTCCATCCAATTATCCGAAGATTTTAACGGAGGCGATTGGGATGGAGTTTCTCCTCCTGGTACCAATCGATTTCCTGGTCTAGAAACTTCAAATGATTTAGCCGTTTTTGAATTTGATTCGGAATTTCGCCAATTAAAAAAATCTGTTAATTTAGATCCGACGCCTCCTTTATCATTAATTGAATCATCATTTGCGAATGAATCTGATTCATATTTTTTACTTGCAAATAAAGAAATAATCGCCATTAAAGGTACAAGTATATACAATAATACTAATAATACTAATCCTATTAATCCATGAGATGTATTAAAATGCTCGGATAGTTTTTGTTTGTCTTGAAATGCAATAGCAAATCCATAAAACGCTGTTGCATATGAAGTTACTATGAATATTGTATATAATCCCGCTATTGCCCATTTCTGATTTGATCCATATCCGAATCTTATAACTGATGCCGCTAATGGTAAAAATGCAAAACTAATTGTTGAAAAAGTCACGTGGCTTTTCGGTGTCGTTGATTTGCCGAAATCATTGGAATCACTACTATCGCTATTTGAACCACTATTTGTTCCTGTGTTAGTTCCCGTAGTGCCACCAGGTTTGACTACTGTACCGCCTGTACCATTTTTAGGTTCTGGAACACATTCAAGGAACTCAATAGGTAACTTGGCTGCACTAGCTGTAGCTCCCGAAGTAGAATTATTATTTAATCTCAATATCCATATATCATTTAAATTATTTCCATCCATACTTTCTCCCCCAAACAATAAAATATCTGTGGCCGCAAATCCAGGAACACCAATCGCCGATGGAATAGGAGCCATTTGAGCTCCTATTCTTTGAGGTGGATATCCCGAAATCTGATCTTTTTGCGGAAGAACACGAACCCAATTTCCCAAATCGGCATCAAAAACACCAACTTCACCAGCTGGCCCAACAGCTTTTCCATCAGATGAACTTCCACCATAAACTATTGCTTGATTTGGATATGTTATAGCAGGATTACTATTCATAACCATGGCAGCTCCTGATCTCGCACCTAAACAAGAATTTTTTTTACTCCATAAAGGTGTTGCGGTTTCTACTTGCCCATTGGTATAATTACTTCCAAAATTCAATGTATAAGTATCTGATGTTGCGCATTTCCCTTCAAGTTTGTCGCATCCCCCATATAATGCCAATCTTTTGTTTGGTAGTATTGTACCTGCAACAAAAGAACGCCCTGCAGGAATATCTGAACCACTTACAACTGGAACTTTATACCAAGTAGCTGATAAAGTTTTCAAATTAGGAGAAAGGTTCCCAGTTGTAACAAGAGCGTAAAGATCAGTAAAAAAATGAGTTCCATTTGTTCCATGACTTGACCATAATGTATTTGTTAATACAGTTTGAGATGGGGTCGCTAACGTCGTATCAATTCCACCAATACTACCATACATTAAAGGCGGTATTTCACCACTAACCGCTTCAACTTTTGTCCATTGTTTATAACTAAAATCAAATGCCCAAATATCATTATAAAGCACTTCTCCGGGTCCCTGACCACAAGCAATAATAAATGCATTTCGATAAGATGAAGCCTTATCAACTCCAAAAATCATATTTGATCTTGCTTCCGGAGTTTGTGGATTAAGAAATCCAAAATCAGATAGTGTTTTCCATGTATTGTCAGTTAAATCTAATAAATAGGTTGCTCCAGATTTACTCCCAGTCGGCGTTCTATAAATAAATAGAATTCAAATTAAATGACGTCAAGACATTTACTAAGCCACAAATCACTCTATATTAAGAGCTACGATAACTCCCTTTAAGTTATTGCTAAAAAATAATACTTACGTTCCGCCGAAAATTATTGCCAAGTTACTGTCTTTAGAGTATCCAAAAGCGAAATCTTTTAGTCCAGGCGGCGATGTACCTCTCAAGTTAGGTCTCATGTCTATCCATTGCATTATGGGTATAGCAATAGTTCCATCTGAATCAGCTTGTTGAGCATTTACTCCAAATGATGCAATTTCGCAAAAAAAAAGAAAACATATTAAACATAAAAGAAGTGAATAAGAAATATTATTTAAAAGGGACAAAATTTTCGAAGTTATTTTCGTATTGTCTGGTAGTCTAAGTTGTATCATTGTTATTTAAAACACAACTCAGTATGTAATGGAATGAGCTAATTTGATTCGTTAAACGCAATTAAATAGGTCCAAACCGGTCCGTTCTTTTTTAAAAAAAAACAAATTAAATTAAAATAATTAATTTTATGAAAATACAAGGAAAAAAGAGTAAGAAGTATAAATATTATACAATGGATATGTATAAATATGAAATAAAGTTTTGTTTCGTTGTTCACAAATACGTTTCTTTACGAGCATGTATGCAATTAAGTGTATTAAAAATAGAAGTTAATTCAACCTCAGTATTGTCCAATAAAATAAGGTATCGTGATAACGAAAATTTGGCCGTCGAAATGAGCACGATCACTTTTTCATGTAACTTAAACCGTTAATAATATTAAACAAATACAGAAGAGACAAAACTTATATGGTTTTTCTCAATTTTTCTAGTTCTGTCTGGAGGAAAAAAAAAATTTTTAATTGTAATAATCATAATGTAAATTTGTATACACCAAGTACTGTGATACATTAAAAATAATTTCAAAAATAGTACAATATTTCCAAAAGAGAAAACTATTTTTGTAACAATTTTTGCGTTATACTAAATATATTTGAGTAAGTATCTACCTCAATAAAAGTCCATAAAAGTAATCGTATCGCAGTAACGTGACTATTGTTGGACAATGATCGATTAACGATCAGCCGTTCTTTAATTCAAAGAAACTTATATGGCTTTAGCAATTGTTGTGTTATTCTTGACAAGTAATCTAGAATACAAAAGTATAAAATATCTTTGAATGTGCATTCGAATTTCACGTTATAAAAAAGGTTCTGACTTTGTTAACATTGCATAAAGCATTCGAATTTTTTGGCTAGCACGTTTTTGCGCTGGAATAAAGAGAGCAAGATAGATTTCTTTCTCCAGGGACACTACAACCCATCACCTTGGTGAAAGTTTTCATCTTGAACAGATCTTAATAAAGACCGAATGGGCCAGATCAAAGATCTCATTAAAGAAAATAAAAGAGTTTTCTATAGCAATTGGTGATTGAAAAATAATGAAATACAATTCATAAGATTCATCTCGATGAGGTAAATCTAACAATAGTTGTTTAATTTAAATTGAAGTGATACAGTCCCCTGCGAAAATAATGGTGGTAAGAATGAACATAGGATCAGCGGACATCTCTTTTTGCCGATCATTCGCCGATCATTTAACATAAGGCACATACATGTGTTTATTTAAAGATCAACATTTTTAAACATGTTAACAAAATGGTATATATTATTTTTTCACAAAAATCGAAATATTATTGTCATTGAATTATTTATTAAATTTTATATTAATTTTATATTTATAGTATAAATTTAATTTTATAATATTGTAAATTTTAATAGCATTAATTTTTTAAAATTTTGTGGCATAATTTCATAATTTATAATCATTAATTTATTAGATTATATGATATAACTTTATTGATTTTATATTTGATTCATAGTTATAAAAACCTGTATTATAAAATAAATTACTGTATTATTTTTACTATAGCTTGTATATATAATACAGGAAATATTTATGTAAAGTTTTAAGTTTAACTCATAGTATTCATTTTATCTATCAATTTTTGTTTATTGATTCTATATTATTATATACATTACCTGAATAAAAATAGTGAACCCTTCTATTAACTTCAAATTTTTATAATATTAATGTCTGAATTAATATATAATCACAACAAATTCAGATAAGTATATATATTGAATTTTCATTAATAATTTATATATTATATTATTATGAAAAAATTGTAAAAAAGAAAATTGAACCAAATTGCCAAAAATTTATATTATTTTTGCATTACTTAAAATCATATATTTTAAAAATAATTACTTTAAAAAATTAACATATCTTTCTCTTTTTTAAAAAAAAATATTAAGAGCATGACTGATATTAACTTTAAAAAAATTTTTATTATTAAATATTAAATATTATTATATATAATAATGGGTTTAAAATTTAAATACATCTGCATTTAAATACATCACTATAGTATAAGTTAAAAATGAAGTTTTAAACCTTTTTTACCATAGTAAGTAAAGTTGTAAAGAAGGCAAAAATACATATATAATGTGAGTTTATTTATAAGTGTATAAAGTATAAGTTGTGTTTATTCAAAAAAATCAGAAATTCACCAGTATTATATAAAATGATCAGCATTTTTATTATATAAAAATCAAAATATACATACTATCCAAATTATTTTGGAATGTCATAATTATAATTTGGAATGCTATAATTCATTCAGTTTATATATGATTACTATGTAAAATGCTAAAATAATTTGAAATGCCATAATTAAATTTGAAATTTACTTATAATTACAGCAGCCCAAAATAATTTGGATAATATATATAATTCAAAATGCAGATACATTTAAATTTTAATTTTTATAATAATTAGTATTATACAATTATTTTGGCTTTTAATAATTCAATTTGAATAAATTTTTTTTTATTTTATAAAACTAAATTTGTAAAGTTAAATAAAAGCTATAAATTAAAAAAAGTTCATTAAAATTGGATTATTAAAAGTAAAGATAATTGCATTATAATAATTATATATAAAAATAATTAAATTATTTATATTTATATTAATTATATAGGTCTGATTTAAAGTTTAACTTGCTCATTTTCTTTCAAATCAACTGATTTCTGACATACTCTAAAAAAAAATAAAAAACTCTTTTTATTATTACTATTTTCTAATTATTGTAATTTAATATTATTTAATAATAAAAATTTTTTAAAAAAATATGTAAAATAAAAATTTTATTATATTTTCAAATAAAGAATAAATTAAAAATTATAATTTTAAGAAATAATTTTCAATTTTTAAATAAGTTTACTTATAAGTAACTTTCTTAAATTTAATAATTCTTAAAATTATAATTTTTAACTTATTCTTTATTTGAAAATATAATAAAATTATTATTTCTTATATTTTCTTAAATTTTTTTTTTTATTAAATAATGCTAAATCAACAGTAAGTAAAAATGAATGCAATTAATATTTAATTATATGTAAGTAATAGTTAAATAGGTGGGTATTTTTAAAAAGAATAGTAAAAAAATAAAGGAAAAACTCCTGAAAATCATGATAAAAATTATTGTTTTTCTAAGTAAAAATGTGTAGAAGTAGTAGGCAGAGAAATATTTAATAAAAATTATATTGTTTCAATATAAGTAAAGAGTATTAAATTAAACATTTTTTTTTAAAAAAAACACAATTTTTATATGAAATGAAGAGAGTGGAAAAGAGTTTTTTTTTAAAGTTTGAAAATAAAATTCTGTATTCTATAATTAATTTTAAATTTTATAATTAATTTTGCCTCAAAGTATTTACTTCTAAAAAGTACTGCATGTATATTTAAAGTAAGTGATATAAAATTATTTAACAAATAAATCATCATTCTATATTCTATATTTTTAAAATTTTCAAAACAATATATAATAATATCTCAAATATTTTTCTAACTATTAAATATTAAATCTAAAATAAGATTAATTACAGTTTGTTTTAGTTTTTGAGACAATACTTTTTTATTTTCAAATAAATCATAATATAATATTTTTTAAAAAAAAACAATACGTTTGAAATAAAATTTCTCTACTACTTAAAGAAATATGAAGTGGTCTAATTAAAGAAATTGAACTTAATTTTGAAATTTCAGATACTATTCTTTTAATATTAATTCTTAATATTATAAGTCTTTTTATATTTACTTGTTCTGGCTAATTAGCAATTATAAAAATAATATAATAATCTAAATATTCAGTATTTTCTAACCTTTTAAATATTTTAAATAAAATGTTTAAACATTCAATATATAATCTTTAGTATTATATAAAGCTCTAAACGGTTCAGTTCAGTTCCATTTTTCAGTTTTTTTCTGATTGGTCAGAATCTGTTTTGCGTAATAACTCACCATCCAGTGATCGTAGAAACCCAATCAATAGCTCGTTAGAATCGTTTTGTTGAGACGGTTTGAATGGTACTAAAATTATCCTTTTAGCATTGATAGATGACGAGTTATTTTTTGAAAAATTGGTAAAATCAACTCTCTATCTATCAATTCTAGAAGGATGATTTTAGTACCATTCGAACTATCTTGACGAGATGATTCCAATGAGCTATTAATTGGATTTCTATGATTACTGGATGGTGAGTTATTGTGCAAAATGGATTTTGATCAATTAGAAAAGAAGTCTGAAACTGATAGTTTTGGCATTTTTTTTTATTTTACATGTAAAAGCGCCAGAATAATTAGTTCTAGCATTTTTCCTTTTGATTTTACATGTAAAAATGCCAAAACTGATAGTTCTAGTATTTTTTTTTGATTTTACATGTAAAAACGCTGGAATAATTAGTTTCAGCATTTTTTTTTTGATTTTATATGTAAAACCGCTGAAATAATTAGTTCTGGCATTTTTCTTTTTGATTTTACATGTAAAAATGCTGAAACTGTTAGTTTTGGCATTTTTTTTTGATTTTACATGTAAAAGCAACTAGAATAATTAGTTCTGACATTTTTTTTTTGATTTTACATTAGTGTTCTGTACAAATCAAATTTCTCCTCTAAAATTCGATTCAATTTGGACTCAATTCAGACTTGATTTGACCTTCAAAAGTTATTATCTCAGGATCTAGTGATCCAATTTCGATGATTTTTTTTAAAATCGATAAGTCTCATTGCCCTGATCAAAATAAAAAAAGATTGTTAAAATCAGACTGTTAGATCAAAAGTTATTCACAAAATACGTTTTTAT